GTAAATTTACAGTAACCTTTTAAAATCTAGTTACTAATAAGCACTACTGTAATTTAGCACAGTTGTTTAATTGCACCCTCATTTATACTTTTTATTTGATTCTTTCCCATCATACAATAGAGTGGATAGTTTCTAGAATGCCTCAACTTCATGTTTATAAATGAGAATATGTTTAAAGCGATGTAGTATCCCTTTTCCTAGCCATTCACCTATGTAAGTTTAACCCGCAAGAGGTTCGATATAAAAGGTGGAAGAAAACATTTGCTACACAACTGGCGGTCTTTGAAAAAGGAAAAAAAGAATAAAAAAGGAAAAAAAAAAAGGACAAAAAAGTCATTGTTAGTTTATTAATATAGGACAAGAAACACTGCGTACAGAAAAACCTCCTAATTGCAACGGTTTACTCCTAGAAGTAATTTTTGTAAACTTACTGAAGTTAAAAATCAAAATAAAAATAATATTGCAGGACCTGTGCTGAAGCAGTTACGAAAAGTGATATTTCTCTTCTGTTCAAATCCCCGTCTCTCCAGCTCTCTCTACATCATTAAATTGAAATGCTGTTTGTAATGTTTTAGCGATCCAGGCTGTTTTTGTGAATAAAATGAATGCATGTTTTGTGTCATGATTTACAGCTTTGTTATTTCTCTCCCACCCCTCTTCCCAGCCGGACGGGCCCCCCCAGTGCTGACGGCGCCTGGTCCCCCCCTTGCCTTTGCCTGCCTGTGCCCCCAGTTCCTACCATCACTGATGGGGGGACCTTGCCAGTGATGATGCTGGGGCACCTCACTGGTGACGATGCTGGGGGACCTCACTGGTGATGTTGCTGGGGGGACCTCACTGGTGATGATGCCAGGGGGACCTCACTGGTGAGATGCTGGGGCACCTCACTAGTGACGATGCTGGGGGGACCTCAGTGGGGACGATGCTGGGGGACCTCACTGGTGATGATGCTGGTGGACCGCACTGGTGAAGATCCTGGGGCACCTCAGTAATGACGATGCTGGGGGGACCTCATTTCAGTGGGGACGATGCTGGGGGACCTCACTGGTGATGATGCTGGTGGACGGCACTGGTGACAAAGCTGGGGGGACCTCACTGGTGATGATGCTGGGGAACCTCACTGGTGAGATGCTGGGGCACCTCACTAGTGACAATGCTGGGGGGACCTCATTGATGACGATGCTGGGGGCCCTCACTGGTGACAAAGCTGGGGGACCTCACTGGTGACGATGCTTGGGACCGCACCAGTGACGAAGCTGGGGAAACCTCACTGGTGAGGATGCCAGCGGCTGGCCCATGCAGGATGGTGCGATGAGCCGAGCCGGAGTCGCCCCGGTTGCTAAATCTGCAGGGTTAATCCCAGCGGTGCCTGGGCTAAGCCAGTCCTGGCTCATCTCGGGGATATTTCCCAGCTTGACCTGCCTGGGTAGCGCAACGCCACTTGGTTTGGTTAAAACAATATGGTTAACGTGCCACAGAGCTGCGGTGAGGCTCGCTGAGTCCAACATCAGCTCCCAAAGGGCAGCGAGCTCGGGGCTGAGCGGTGTGGCCATGGTTTCCTGGGATGCAGAAGCTGGCCGAGGTGGAGGGGATGTTGGATGAGCTTTGCCATGGACAAGTTGGTGAGGTCTGTCGGTGTCTGGGGTGCTGGGCTGGGCATGGGGTGGGCTGTGTGCCCCTTCCAGCCCTGGGAGTGTCTCCTGGCTGGGGAATGAGGCAGCTCTGCCTGGCCCGAACAGTGCCGGCTCTGCCGTGCAGGAGGAGGTAGCCAGAGCCTTTGTCCCCAGCTCCAACCAGCGTTTGGGCCAGCATCTGTTGACCAGATGTGCGCCCGGAGGAGGTGGGGGGGGAAGGCGGTGCATGGGCTCTGCTGGGACCGAGCAGAAAGTCCTTGGGGAAAACTGCCCCAAATGCCCTCCCCAGCAGCCTTCCACCCCACCCAGGTCATGTCAGTGTCGGGAGGCCTACAGGGAGAACTGAGGCTCATGGTGACAGCGATGGAGGCGGGTGAGAGTCAAAACTGAAGGCCTCTGGGGACAGACGGACCCTACTCCGGTGCCTGGCATGCCCAGCTCAGGCACTGACTGGGCTGGCACTGGGAAGGGGGTGCAGGGAGCGGGTTCCCAGTTCACGAT